TTTTCTCTGACCATAATGAAATAAAATTAGAAATCATTAGCAGATCTGGACAATCCTCAAATATTTTGAAACTAAATAAATACCAAGTCCATTCTCTGAGCCCACTATGCTGTATAGATGTAGGGGTGGAGGGGACAGGTTACATGAAAAAAAAACTAAACACACTGAGCTATAGAGTTCACCAGCAACACCTAAGTATACATATCCTTTTCACCTTGTAGTTGCTCTATGATCTTGGTGAAGTTACTTACTTCTCTGAGCCTATTTCTTAATCTAGACAATGGGAGTAATACTTCTATTATTATATGTTATTCTCAGAGTTGTTGTAAGAATTAAAAGAGTTAATATATAGAAAGTGTCCTATACCATACCACCCTAGCTTGTATTCATTTACTCAGTGAACATTCTCTCCTTCCATCCTAAGTTCACACAGTTCTTGACAGGATTTGACCTGCAGCCTACATATTCTGATTCCTTAGCATTCATTTTTCAACTGCAAATTCTGTTTTGAATAATCATCTGCTTTTATTATTTATTCAGTAGCTATTTCAGAAATAATCTGAAGTATTGTAATAATTTGCAATCAGTATTTTTTTTGTAAAATAGTATAATAATTTATTTTAGGAGATATATCTTTAAAAATTATATATGCATATCAAATATAAGCAAATTATTTGATTCCTACTTTGGCAACTAAAATTCCCATTGGTTTTAAAGGTATCATTGAGTAATAAATGGTCAAACATGGTGTTTGGCTCCATGTTCAATAAGAAAATGATAATAACAAAGTCAACCACAAATATCTCACTTGGAAAATAGTGAAAAGGCAGTATTTTGCATATTGGTATTAGATACAGATTTTATAAAATACTAATTATGCATTTTAACAACAAATACAAAAGAAATTTAAAAACAATGCTCTGAATGCTCTGGAGTCATCTGGAGGCCTTCACCGAGGAGATGGAGTTTGAGCTAGAAGAGGATATAGATAAATAAAAAACAAAAATAATTAAAACCTAGGATGTGTACAAAGGTAATAATTGATTTTACTTTGTGTGAATCTTAAGTTAATATTACTCCTGCTTTTTTAGAAATCATAATTTTCTCCTTATCAAAATTACTACTAGTTATTGTACAAAGTGGTTCATGCTTTATATGTATGCCATCAACAAATTCATTCATTTTGCTCAAACATCACTCCTGTCATCTAAAATATTTTAAATTATCAGCTCATATCAACATTTAAAAATAAAAACATGGCAAGTTGGCATGATGCACCTACTCAAAGGCAAATAATACACCCCTTAAGCAAATCATTGTGTTTATGGGCTCATCATTTTGTTCAAACTAATCAGATCATGAAGGAACCAGTAATCTCATTTCTCTGTGCTAACTCGTCAACACATTCAGATGGCTCTTAGCATCCCATTGCAGCTTTCCTAAATGTTTGAAATCCCATGTGAAGCTCATCATTTTTGCTTCTCCTTCTCAGACTGTGCAAATTAAAAATCAAGCTAGCAATAGTCAATCATTCTTCTCCCTTTTGTCTACAGTGCTTGTTCTTTCCCACTGTCCGTATACTTATTCCTTCCTTGTTTTGTCTCTTTACCTACGTAGTTCAAGGAATAGTTCAGGGGCAAGAAGATCTTGCTTTCTAACTCAGGTAAAACAAAACATTCAACTCATTCAAGCCATCAGCCATCACCTTTTCTTGCCTGAATACTTTGTTTCAACCTCATCAAAGGAACCCTGCTGATTTTCTAATTGACCTCATCTCCATAATAATTTTTGAAAACTTTTTTTAAAGGTTCTTCTAAAGTCCTTCTGTCATCTAATTTTTGTCTTGTTCCACCAAGTTTGCATATATTCTCACTGTCTTAATTTGAGCAATCAATCCATATTTGGAAAGATGTCGTTTTGTCCTAAAATAGCTATTGAACTCTACTAATTAACCACACAAGATTTTTAAAAATACTTGATATCTTAGCACCTCAATACACATTTTTCTTGAGCTTCTCAAAATAGCTTGTTGCTTTTTTATTAATAGTCTCAGAGCATCTTATGAATGATTAATGCTTATATTATTCACTTATTATTGATTACTATTAATAATTATTAAGAACTATGTGACTATTATTTATTAATAATTAATAATTGAATGTTATTGATTATTGACTTTTATATTAATATTATACCTTCCAATTTTTCCAAATGTTTTACATTTGGTTTCTCTTTTCATATATACTTGACTTATCTATGCCAGTGTGGTCAAACCACAGTGATCAAATGAGAAAAGTAGTGGCAGTCAGACTGGAGGAATTCAGGACTGCCACCATATACAGTGTTTAAGTTGCAGCCTGCACCAGGCCAAGGCAACAAAGGGAGCTGGAATCTAGCCTGTACTCTGCTCATCAAGTCCTATGCCTGGCATGAGACTGTTTTCATCTAAGGAAGGGGTGCTTTGTCAGTTTACACAAAGGTGTCATATGGGCTAGTAGTGGCCCTGTAAAAGCTCATATAGAGGAGTTTTGATATATTAATGCCTTGAGAAACCACGAAGAAGGAATTTAAAAAACCTAATTTATACTTTGTAAAGAATACTGTGCTGTGTGTCGTAGCATGGGTTGGAGCGAAGTAGGAGTGAAAGTGAGGCCGGTCAGGAAGTGATGGTGGCCAGAACTAGGTGATCGGGAAGTGCTGATGAAAGTTGAGACATAGAGAAATGGATGCAAAGCATCTTTTGAAGGTAAAATGAACAGGATTTTGTGTTGGATTGGGTGGGGAGGGTAAAGGAGAGAGGTGTGAAAGATGATGTTCCAGTTACTGACTTTAGTAACTAGATGAATGGTAGAGCTGTGTCCTGAAATAAGGGGGAGAAACAGGCTATGGGAGGAGTGTAGTTACAAGATTTCTGGGTCATACAATTCGTTGGAGGCACCTGTGAATTATTTAAATGGCTACCAGGAGGCAAAGTGGATTTACGTACCTGAAATTCAAAAGAATGTCTTCTTTTTTTCTGAGTGCCCCTGAGACTTCCTTTGTCTTCAGCAGTCTGAGAGCAGCCCATCCGAGTAATTCTGTAATTCTGTAATGTTGCTAAAAGATCATCAGTAGCCTATTATCCCAAACAATCCAGAAGTTTATTTTGAAAGGGCTAAAATCCAATACTGTATAAACATAATTACTTTCCCTTAAGGCAGATGCTCAATCTTATACCCAGTACAATAAAACCAATTGACCCCACACTGGGGCTAGTCTTCCATCTAGTATTTTATTTAATGTAAAGGACTTCCTTTAACTTTCTTAGCAAAATTTGTGTCCTTGTACCCTGATTTCATTGTTCCCTTGAGAAATTTAGGTTGATCTCTTTCCTTGTCTTGGTGGCCTAAATCACACAGTCACAATCAGTTGTGAGTTTTTCTCCCGATTTACCTGGCTTTACCCTTTCTTAGAGTTTATAATCCTGGCACAGTGTAAGCCCAGAGCCAGCCTGTCACTGGGATTGCCTTCTTCAGTCTCTCTAGATGAACTCCCAGGAGTAAATTACTCCAGTACTCATAGATTTGTTCTCTTTCCTGTTTCAGTAGGCAGAGCCAAAACCAATGGTTAAAAACCACATGGAGAGAGATGTTGGCTCAACTACAGGAAAAACTGCCTAATGCTTAGTGCTGTCTGAAAATGGAAATACCTTCTGGGGAAAGAGTGAGTTATAGTTTCTGGAGGTGTGAGGAACCCAGCAGTCAGTCATTTAGTATGGAGTCAGTAGTAGAGACTGAAGGGTCAGAGTGTGGAAGTACTCTCCACTGACTATTAAATTCCTACTCATGTTAGAGCTTTACGCAGAAGCTTTGCCTCCTTTAATCCTCATAACAACCCCTAAGGGAACTAGTTATAACCCTACCAGGAAGGGTTACAGTCACAAACTTAAGATCACTCCATTAGCAAGTAGCAGAGCCAGGATTAAGAGCCAGGATTTAAACTCAACTTCATCTGCATCCAGATTTCTTGCCTATTCTTTCCACAATTCATGGAAACATGAGAGATTGAATTAGGGGATTTCTAAGGTCCCTTCTAGCATTATGATGCTATCTGAGTCAAAGTATGGATACAGATGCTCTTCACCTTTCAGTGGAGTTACATCCTGATAAACCCATCATAAATTGAAGGTATTGTAAGTCAAAAATGGGTACTCTGTAGACATGATGGAATGTGAAAACACAATATCTAAAAAATACTGGCAACACAGTACATACACTGTACAGTATCAGTTGTTTGCCCTCATGAGCACATGGCTGACTGGAAGCTGCCGCCCACTGACACTGCCTAACATCCCAAGAGAGTATCATACTGTGTATCAACGGCCCAGGAAAAGATCAGAATTCAAAATTTGAAGTATAGTCTCACTGAAAATGCATATTGCTTTCTCACCATTATAAAGTCAAAAAATCAGAAGTCAAACCATTGTAAGTTGGAGACCATCTGTACGGGCATTACTGACTCTTTTCCTTTAATCATCCTTCCCACTTTAGTCACATTAAAATGACAATCCGTGACTCCAAAACTTTCTATGACCTCCATCAAGAAACGGCCACTTGAAAAATCAACATTTGTACTTTGTATTCCCTCTGAGTTTTAAGCAGAACTTAGTCTAAAGCCCTCAAAATCTGCTTAACAACAAAAACTTTAATTTTCTGAGTTGCTGGCAAGGACTGAGTTCACAGTATAAATGAGCAAGTAACTAAGCTTTTAGTATTTCTGAAAACTGTCATATAGTTCTAACTCCTCTACTAATTTTTCAGGTCTTAGAAGGTGGTGGAATATTTGGCACAAGGTCAGTTTTTCTGGCCCAAGTTTTAAGTCACATAATTTTTTAGAATTTTAAAAATAGTTTAATTAAAAATTTAATGTCGAACATTTTAAAACTTAGAGTTTGAAAATAAGCTTAATGTACTTATTTTAAGGTAAAATGGTTTTACATGTGTTTTAAATGCCATTTCTAGATTGAAGCAGAACTTGCCAAGGAAAGGGCCCAACACTTGGTTGAATTTGAAGAGCAAGCTCTTCTCTTTAAGGAAGAAACAAAACTGCAACTTGATATTGAAAAAGAAAAACACCAAAATATAATCCAAAAGTATAAGAAAGAACAAGAGGAACTACAAATGAAGGTCTGTAATTATGACGTTCATCATTATTTAACAGATTTGAAACTGCAGATGTTGTATATTTCGCCTTAGAACACTACAGTATTTATGATTCCAGTAGCTTTCACTCATGGTCACTGTGTCTTGGTTTTAGCCAGGCAGGTAAGATGGTTTGGCTAATTCTCCAGAATGGATAACTGAGATAAGTTATACAAGCATGTAATCTAGCTATGTATGGATTTTTTCTACTGGAATAAACTTATTTTTTAAACATCATAAATTATATGACTAAAAATTAGTATGGCTAGATATTTCAACACCTCAAATATCCAACATCAAAAGATAATGAGGTATTTTACATAATTAAAATTTTCCCAACAACTAAAGCATATACCCTTTCATTGCAGATATTTTTCATTCTCAACATTTCTGAATGAAGAGAAATATTTTTTAAATGTAATCACATCTCCCTAAATTTCTTAAACAGTATGTTCTAAATACTAAAGGTTTTGTTAAAGTTTTCCTGTTTTTATAGGACTTGAGTGTAGAGTGTGTATGTGCATATGTGTATTAATCAAGACCTAGTGTAGAAATAACATTTTGAATACATGCATAAAGAGTCTGTGTTAATTAAGCATCAGACAAGACCTAATGGCTTCTACATTTGTGTACAGGAGGTATGGTACATCCATTTCAGTAGTCCATTGTGAACAACAGGCAGCACCAGCTACATGTGTACAACCAGTGCAATAGCACATGGTCCCACACTCAGAAAGGTCTCATGCTTTGGATGTAATGCTCTGCAGGTACTACCTTGAAGTTCTTAATAAGCTAACTGGGCATAGTGGCTCATGCCTATAATCCTAGCACTTTGAGAGGCCCAGGCAAGAGGATCACTTGAGGCCAGGCATTCAAGACCAGCCTGGACAACATAGCAAGACTGTCTCTATTAAAAAAAAAAAAAAAAAAAAGATTTAATTAGCCTAGTGTGATGGTTCATACCTGTAGTATGTTCATACCGGTTAATACCCAGGCTACTTGGGAGGCTGATACATGAGGTTCACTTGAACCCAGGAGTTCAAGGCCTCTGTGAGCTATGATCACACCACTGTACTTTAGATTGGGCAACAGAGTGAGACCCCCTTCTCTAAAAGAAAGAAAATTCATAGTGATTTTTATCTTTGAACTTGAGTTTTGTAAGTGAAATCCTACTGGGGCAATGGAGCATGTGCCACAAGCTTACAGCCTTGGCTCCCCCAAGGTTCTGCCTCCCCTAGAGGGTTCTCACCTCTTGCTTCCTGGCTTCTGATGCCCCAGGCTCCACTGAGTCTCCCCTTTTCTTCCTCCTCTCACTCTGTGACTGCTGTTGCAGCCCTGGGTGGTTCAGGATCCCATCAGCAGGAGAACGCAGACAGGCAAGCTGGAACTTGCCAGATGTTACAGTTTCTCAAAAGAAGTCATAAATCCACATTTTGTAAGTGAAACCTCCTGATCTTTAAATGTTGACTGCCTTTTAAAAAATAAAAACATATTTGTGGTTATGTGAACCTCTTCTCCCAAGGATAACTTGCTTTATTTCAATGTCAGCTCTTCTCTGGGTGATGGAAACCACTGTAACAGACCTGACAGTGACCTTCTTCCCTCCTGGATTAATTGAAGATAATAGAATATTAATTTATAAAATTATGAACTATGGTGAAGAGACTTCTCACACAAGTTATTCTTTCTGTAAATTTAACATTTGAAAGAAATTTTGGATACACAACTCTTTTTATGTAATAGTTCACAAAGTCCTTGGAACCTTGGTCTGTGAATGGTTTCCAGATTCTTAGTGGGCTAGTTTCTTGTTGTGCTAATATTTATAACATGACAATAATTGAGTGTAAGTAATAAGGATATGTTCCATTAGAAGCAGCTCTTGTTTTGTTGTTTTGTTTTTTAAGGAGAAAGAAAATAAGAGGTCTTTTCCTTTCTAAAGACTTTCACGCTATGAGGAAAAGCTTCTCCAAGTTATTCTCTCATTCATTTATCTAGAGGTACCACCTTGAGAAGCAGTACATTTTCAGAATATTCAGGTGTTTTCTACAACTGTGCTATCCATCTTGGTCGCCACGTGTGGCTATGAAAGTTTCCATTAAATTAATTAAAATTAAATACAATTTAAATTCAGTTCTTTGGTCACATTAGTCGTATTTCAGGTGCTCAATAGTCAATACTCTTTTTTGAGAGCTATGGTTAGAGTATTTACACCATGGAAATTAGATACAAATATTGCTTTTTTTTCTTTTTTTGAGAGTCAGTTGTTAAACATTTACCAGCACTGTCAGTAGCCACATGTGCCTAGTGACTACCATATTGGATAACATAGAATATTTCTACCACCACAGAAAGCTCTGTTGGGCAGTACTATTCTGGAAGGCATAGTATCTGGAGTTCCTCCCGCCATTATTTACAAAAAAGAAAAAAAATTATGTCAAAGAAAAATTTATTGGTATACTTAGGGTAAAGTATAACTTTAGCGCTCTCCTCCTTGCATTCCCCAAAATCAGGAATCCCCTGATTCCTCAAAAATCAGGCATTTTGAGATCCCAAAGCCAACCTAGTTAGGTCTAGACAGGCCCCTGATCTATTTGTCAAGACTTTAACTGAGGCTGGGCACAGTGGCTCACACCTGTAATCCCAGCACTTTGGGAGGCTGAGGCAGGAGGATTGCTTGAGCCCAGGAGTTTAAGACCAGCCTTGGCAACATAGAGAGACACCATCTCTACAAAAAATAAAAAATTACCAGGCCTGGTGGCATGAGTCTGTGATCCAGCTACTGGAGAGGCTGAATTGGGAGGATCGTTTGAGCCCAGGAGGTCAAGGCTGCTGAGAGCCATGATTACACCTCTGCACCACTGCGCTCCAGCCTTAGCAACAGAGCAAGACCCTGTCTCAAAAAAAAGACTTGTCCTATCCTTTGTAGCTTAATATAGTCACAGAAATTTATATATTTCCAAAAATTCCCAAGTGATTAATGTGATACTGTTTTAAGTAGAAAAATAAATGTTTTAGTCTTTTAAAAAGAAAATCTTGAAGGCCTGCATGTCATGGGTTTGTTTTCGTCTGATCAAGTGAGTACACTGATTAATGAGAATAAACCTCTTAAAAACCGTAAGAATTCTGTGGTTACCTAGAAACTATTGCCTACAAACTAATATGAGATTTATCTTACAGATATCTGACTTAATCACAGGCGCTACAAGAGATCTAAGACAGGAAGTGACCGCTCTTAGAGAAAAACTTCATGAATCCCATATTCGGTACACTGAAGAATCTGAGTCAAAGGAAAAAGAAATTGAAAATCTTAAAAATTTGGTTGCAGAATTTGAATCTCGCTTGAAAAAGGAAATTGACAGTAATGATTCAGTTTCAGAAGACTTGAGGAAGGAAATGAAACAGAAGTCAGATGAACTGAAAAGAGTAATGCTGGCTCAAACACAACTGATAGAGCAATTTAACAAGTCCCAGGAAGAGGTAGGAAGCAGATAGTGGTACCTTTGCAATTAATCAAAGAGCACATGTTCTTTCAACAAACAAACAAAAACGTGAAAGGCAGCTTAGTTTCCTGGAAAGAGCCCTGGAATGTTAGTCTGACCTAAGTCACATCCTGGTGCTCTGTCCTTAACTTTAGGCAGTCACTTAGCCTCTCCAGACCTGGCTTTCCCTTAAACTACATAATCTCTAAAAGTTTTCTTGGCACCCAGTTCTTTCTTGCAAATAACTATTTTAAGCCTCTAAGACTAGGAATCTTTATATGTTTATGTCTTATTTGTTTTAATGTTAAATCTTTGGCAAATAAACTTTTAGAGCACTTTCTGCATACTTAAAAAAAAAATTAGACTGTCTTTTAAATACAATTTTACCATAGGTTTTTACCTTCCTATCAATGTAAACTTATAAGGTAATAGGCATGCATCAGTTTTCTTTCTTATGTATGCATGATTATTTCAGTGATGTTTTTCATTCAAACTGCAGTAGACTTATTTTGATTTGAAAACATTTTTCAAAGTATTATGTCTGAACTATTGAAGAGTTTAGAAGTAGTGAAACAATTCATCTGTTCTCTAATCACCAATATCGTATCACATTACAATATTTGATCCCTTTGATGACGGTATAGCAAATAAAGGCAAATGGAGGAAGATTCTGAATGTTGGTGAGAAGTAATATTTTTGTTGGTTTGATTGAAATCAATAAAGGCATAAAAGGAAAGCGCTAATAGCAGTATCAATTATTAACAATTAAATATGCCATGGTCTTGCTATATTTAAATTATCAGTCAAAATAGAAAATTTACATCATCATTGTAATTATGTAATCATGAAGTCAACCTATTACAACAAAGTTATAAATTTGAAATAAAATATGGAATAGACAGAATACTAGATCAAGAATAATGCCTAAAACAACTCTATAAGTAGAAATTATTTACAAGTTACAAATGAGGAAGAGACTGAAGAAGGCTGAACAATTTCCATAAGGTCAGACAGCTTGGTGGAGCTAAGATTAAAATTTGAATTTCTATGATATGATGTTTCCTCTTTTGGGAAACCTAGTTCTTATTATTCTGCTTCTATATTTCACAGTGACTACAGACTTAGTTAACATCTCCAGGGACTCAATTTTCTTTTAGTATTATAATTAAGACAAAAAGATGATGAAGTGTCTCTTGTTGTTACATAGCAGCACAGTACCCCCAGTGAAGGAAGCCACACCCCCAGTTCAGGCAGGAGTAAGGTGGAAGAGCACACATGGACTTAGCTCCACTGAAGAAACCCTGAGAAAGAGAGACGTGATGCTGATTTGCCTCAAATGCGACAGCAGTAGTGAATCTCTAGAGGAGGGAAGCAGGGTAAAAGACAGAAAGGTCAAGGCCAACTAGACTAGCAGATTTTCTAACTATTTATTCACTAAAGAAATGGCAATATAGAAAATGAGGAGTAAATTATAAACTAGGAGAGGTAGAAAAAGATGGAAGGGTCAAATTCAGTAAATGTATATTAGCATCTATGTTACTCTGTTCTTGCCTTACTCTAAAGGAATATGTGAGACTGGATAATTTATAAAGAAAAGAGGTTTAGTTGGCTCATGGTTCTGCAGGCTGAACAGGAAGCATAGTGCCTGCCTCTGTTTCCGGTTAGGACCTTAGGAAGCTTGCAATCATGGCAAAAGGTGAAAGAGAAGCCCAGTGCATCACGTGGTGACAGAGAGGTGGGGGGAGGTGCCACATTCTTTTGTGAACTAACCCAGCAAGAACTCATTCATCAGCAACGGGATGGTGCTAAGCAATTCATGAGGGATCTGCTGCCGCGATTCAAACACCTCCCACCTAGGCCCCACCTCCAACATTGAGGATTACATTTCAACATGAGATTTGGAGCTGACAAACTTCCATACCCCATAACAGCATCTATCTGGGTGCCAGGCACATGTTAGGTAGGTACTGATGATATAATTATGAATAAGACTGACAACTGCCACTTCCTGCTCTCAAAAAAAAATTTAAAGAAAACTTTGCATGAGTAATTAAGTTAATATCCAAAGGAAAGAATGATCTAAACAGAATTTATCATAAAAACAGCATAGACTGAAAGCTAGAACATTTGCCTGAAGAGCTGGTATAAATTATCTATTGCTATGTGACAAATTATCCCCAAGTTTAGCAGCTTCAAACAACAAACATTTATTATCTCATAGCTTCTGTGGGTCAGGAATCTGAGCATGGCTTAGCTGCGTGTCTCTGGTTTAGAGGCTCAAGTTCTCTCATGAGATTGGTGTCAGGGTGTCCACTGGGCTGCCGTCTCATCTAGAGGCTCAACTACGATGGGACTGGCTTTCAGGCTTACTTATATGGTTGTTGGCAGGATGTATTTGGCCAGAGGCTTCCCTCAGTTCCTTGCCACATGGACCTCTCCATAGAACAGCTCAGTGTGTCAGCTGACTTCCTTCAGGGCAAGCAAGTGAGTGAGAATGAGAGAGAGAAGGTACTAAGACAGAAGCCACAGTCTTTTTGCAACGTAATCTCAGAAGACACATCCCAATGCTTCTGCTGTATTCCATTCATTACAAATGAATCAATAAGTCAAACCCACACTCAAGGTGAAATCATTGCACAAAGATAAGAATATCAGGAGGGTAAGGATCATTAGGGGGCATTTTAAAGGCTTCCAATCACAGGGCTTCTGGAGGTGATTTTGGCAAGAGAAAATAGACTAAAAGTGAAGAGTGGATTTCTTCATCGACAAAAGGAACTGCATTTGGAACTCTTCCTGCTCATTTGTTGTTAAAAGAAGCCACTTAGGAATAAAGCTTCTTTAAAAATGTGGACTGAAAGACATAAGACATTGGGTTGGTATGTAAATGATCATAGATCATTGCTACAGAGGAGAAAAGGATCATCCCAAAGGTAAAGAAAACCAATTAAGGGCATACTTAGGCGGGCAATATCCTTTTGTGGGAGCAGAGAGAGTAGACTAGATTTTCCTTTAGAAGTTACCAGAATATCACCTCAAAGTTAACTAATTTGAACTGAACTGTAAGAGTAAATAATTAAGGCTGCTTATCTGGCTAAGCATGCCAGAGTCCAAAATATGCTTATAAAAATAGGAAATGAGCCAATAAAAGGGATAGGATTTATGAGCTAGAAAGAATAGAGGCCATAGCATGTAAAGTGAAAATCACCACGTTTTTTGATCATGCATTCCAGACACTTGAAATTTCTCAGATTCTGGAGAAATAAAGCTGCATTTAAGTGGAAAACAAATTCCCATTAGAATGAAAATAAATTAATGGTCTAATAAGGAGGCTAATTAAGAGGAGGAAAGCCCTGTTCTCTTTCAAGTGGCCAAATAACGGGTAGACTTTGTTTTTAATTGTATGAAGAAAGTTCTCAAGGATAAGAGGAAAGCCAAATCCTCTAAAGGGCAAAATGGGCCTTCCTAAATGGAGCAGGGATTATTGGAGCGCATCACCAGAAACAGCAAGTGTCACAAAGCAGAGCAACAAAGGGTGCAGGTCAATAAAAAGAGAAAATGGAAAATAAAACTGTGCTAGAAATGTAAATGTGAACAAGGAGTCCCTGAAAAGATACATTAAAAGATTAGAAAGCAGGGAGAGAGGGAGTGAGAAAGAAAGAAAGTTAATATGTTAGAGAATAACACTTATCAGTAAAACCAAAGTCAAAATGGGTCATATGCTTCTTGATGCTCATTTTCCTTCCTACTGGTTCCATGTGAGTACAGTCAAGACAGTGTGACCCCACTGTTAGGGACCTTGTGATCCCGAGGAAGAATGTGGTTAAATTCCAGTAAACAGCTCATATACAATCACTGAAGGAAAATCAGTACAGATAGTTCAATATTTTTGTTGTTTGAAGACCACACATAAGGGAGTCAAAAGAGCAGTAGTTTTAAATGCTATAGTTATTGTAGTCATACAATGAAGATGAGTGATACTCAAAAATATAAAATAATGCTCTTGGTTAAACATGGAGAATTGAATACGTATGTTTATCTCTACTTCATTCCACTGCCACTAAAATGGCAATCAATTAATAAAAAGTGAATAAATCCAGTAGGACAAAGAGAACAGGAGAGAAGTTAGCACTTGATAAAAAAAGATGTTGACCAAAGCTTACAAAAATGGAAAGCAAGTGTCTAAGAGACAAATGACTTATCAGACTAGAGAATATTGAAATCTAATGCCTGTGAGGATTGGGGATGGGAGGATCCAAAACAGAAAATCTAGTTATGTGACACAACACTAGAGAGGCTCAGGAACTGGAGAAACTAGGTGCAGGCATAATTTGTTTTACTGCATGTCACTTTATTGTGCTCCATAGATACTCTGGGTTTTATTACAAATTGAAGGTTTATGTCAACCCCTATGTTGAGAAAGTCTGTCAGTGTCATTTTTTCAACTGCATGTGCTCACTTTGTGTCTCTGTGTCACAGTTAGGTAATTCTTGCAATATTTTAAACTTTTTCATTATTATATCTGTTATGGTCATGCAATCAGTGATCTTTGATGTTACTGTTACACTTGTTGGTAGGTGCCAAGAATGGTGCCTATATAAGACAGCAAACTTAATAGATAAATGCTGTGTGTGTTCTGACTAATCCACTGACTGGCCAGCCCCCCATCTCTCTTCTCCTCAGGCCTCCCTATTTGCTGAGACAAAACAATATTGAAATTAGGGCAATTAACAACCCTACAATGGCTCCTAAGCATTCAAGTGAAAGGAAGAATTACACATCTCTTACTTTAAGTCAAAAGGCAGAAATGATTAAGCTTAGCAAGGAAAGCAAATCAAAAGTTGAGATAACCCAGAAGCTAAGCCTCTTGGTCCAGTTAGCCAAGTTGCGAATTCAAATGAAAAGTTCTTGAAGGCAATAAAAGTGCTACCTCAGTGAAGAATGATAAGAAAATAAAACAGCCTTCTTGCTGATATGGAGAAAGTTTGAGTGGTCTAGGTA